AAAGATAATCATAAATTACCTTAAATTAAAATTTAATTCAGTGTTCAAGAACATAATTGATTCAACTTAGCAACTCTGATTCTATTACTTGTAAATATGAGAATTAATAATGTAAGTATTTTTAGTACAGAGAATAAATTCTATAAAATAAAAGAAAATCTGATATTACTCCTGGAATATTTCTCTCTAAATGTTACCTTAATGATTTCCACATTTCCTTATCATTTACCTATTACCCGTCTGAACATTGCATGATAATCTAGACTTCCAAAGGAAAAAAAACAACATCATTGTTCTAAAGTTTTGTAAAATATTATGAACTACATTCACATAATAACATCGTAAGCACTATCAAGTATCTTGATGAAGCGAAATCCATGATGTTAAGAATAAAAAATTACAAAACCAAGCCCAGTCTTGCCGTCACTAATAACTTTAAAAGAAAGTGCTATTCCCCATCTTTCTTCAACTCCTTCAACCTGATTGACTGGCCATGAGTCACACAGAAACAACAGATGTTCATGTATCTGACATCGTAATAGCCACAAAAGAGTTCTTTTTCAGTATCATGCACTGTCACTGTCTCTGTCAACACACCTAACAATTTCATATTAACTTCATTATCTTTTAAAATGATTCCTTATTTTTTGTTTTATGTTTTAAGGTAAAAAATATTGTAATCACTTTATAAACTCCTAGCTAGGTATTAAATGTTATTCCTATCTGTGATACTTTAACACCACAGATAAATTTTTGGATTTTTTTAAACCATTTTCTTATTAAAATCAGAGATGAGGGAAACACATTTTGTTGTTCCAATAAAACAGACTTTTTATGAAAAATCTGCTGGTCAGTAAGCAAAGTAAAACCCATTCGACAGACCTCTCAAAAGTTCAAAGATTACTAATAAAACTTCTCAAAAATATTTAAAATTAAGTAGATGATTGAAATAGTTTTACACATTTGCCACAGTTACAGTTTTAAGAAAAGACTGACAATTGTAATGCCACTTTACTTACTACTGTGTTTACAAAAATAATAAGGTACTTTGTACATATTGCACTCATAACCTTAATCTACAAGAGTAAATAAGCATAAACAAGTTCCTCACAGAACTTTGCTATGCTTGAAATTTACCCTCACTCTATTCTCTTTATACATGAGGTAGTTAAATACATCTATTCACGTTAATTCATCTGTTTCTCATTTCCTATCCCAACCTGAATGTTTTCTCTCATTCCTTTGTGGCTCCAGATGGGTCCCCATCCCTCCATCTGTCAGTCCTGGCAAATAAGTCCCTCAAAATCATTATCACTGCCAGAGGGAAGTTAAATATATATTATGTGATCGTGAACACAAACATATGTGTGCACATAAACAGGCTGCACCTGGGCAGTAGGTAGGTTAATGTTGAAACATATGACAGCAAACTTGCCAAGGGACTTGCTAAAAAATGGAAAGAGACGTATGTCAATGTGCTTGCACAGCTTGGTGATATTATCGGAGAGGATGAGAGGTGCCCAGAATCTCCTCCACAAATTTCACTGAGTGTTGTAAAACACCACACTGTGAATAACCAGAAAAGAAGGACTTAGAGTCTATTAATATTGTGGTAAAAGTGTTCCAAACCACCCCAATAAAGTAAATATTCTGATTTTTAGGAGTAATATATAGAATAGCTATTTATTTTGTGGGAAGAATCTTAGTCACTCTAAAGCCTTTCGTAGTGAAGCATTGACTCCAAATAGTTCTACACATTGATTATAGACAAATGGTAAATACGCCAGGACTTTTGCTTCCCATGTGCAACTTGCCCAGTATTTAGAGTGAAATAGCCTGTTCTAAAAACTACACATTTGTTGCTTCAGGAATAGGATGAATGACCACGAGAAGTTTTTGGCTTTTAAGAGCTGAAATGTCTAAAAATCAGAATATTTACTTTATTGGGGTGGTTTGGAACACTTTTACCACAATATTAATAGACTCTAAGTCCTTCTTTTCTGGTTATACACAGTGTGGTGTTTTACAACACTCAGTGAAATTTGTGGAGGAGATTCTGGGCACCTCTCATCCTCTCCGATAATATCACCAAGCTGTGCAAGCACATTGACATACGTCTCTTTCCATTTTTTAGCAAGTCCCTTGGCAAGTTTGCTGTCATATGTTTCAACATTAACCTACCTACTGCCCAGGTGCAGCCTGTTTATGTGCACACATATGTTTGTGTTCACGATCACATAATATATATTTAACTTCCCTCTGGCAGTGATAATGATTTTGAGGGACTTATTTTCCAACCTCATCGGACATCAGATATACCAGAATGTTGATCTTGGACTTCATATTTTATTCCTTAGGCTACCAAGTCTATAGTTTTCTGTACTAATCCAAAGTAATTAGAGAATTTTCTCTTAAATGAAACCATCTGCATTGTCTCATAATGAATGACTTTTCTCCAATCTTGTCAAGACAGAATGACTGATCATCCATGAGGAATGATCATTGCTTGATCTTGCAAGAGTAAAGCAATGTAATGTAAACATATTGATTTTACAAACTGAAAACTAATCATATTTTACAATGGGATATCAGGTTTAAAACAAGCAAAGTAAACAGAAAATGACGATATATTAAATCTGTGGCTATAGAACTAACATTGGGATTGCCGAATCTAATAATATTTACTCTTTGAGATTTTTGAGGTACCTCGGTATCTTTTTTCTTAGTAGCTGTACTGCATTCTATTTTCACTAACAGTGTAGATAACTCTCCTTTCTCCATATCCAACAGATAACAGTTGTTATCTGTTGTCACTAAGAGTGAAAGTATATCCACTTGTAGCTTGGATTGACATCTCCCTGATGACTAATTGTGTAGAGATTTTTGTCCTATAACCAGTTGACTATTTCTATCTTTTTTTGAAAGCAGCCTGTAATTTGTTTTGCTGACCATAATGGTACTTTGTTGACTTATTTTCCTATTGACTTGCTCATCTTCCTTCTGTATTCTTGTTATTAATTTCTTTTCAGACATATAATTATAAATATTTTGTCCCATTATATTATTACTTCACTCTACTGACTGTGCTTTTGTGTGTGTGTTTGTGTGCAGATGTTTGGACTCTGATGTTATTTCATTCATTAGTTTTTGCTTTGGCTACCTGTGTTTTTGGCATCAGTCTTAGTCTCCTTGCTCTGCTTCCTAAGACAAAATGCCTGACTCCCCAACATAAAGAAGGAAATTTTTATTTATCTTACAAGTTATAGATGTTTCAATCCATAGTCAGGTGACTCCAAGGCGGGATGGCGTGGCAGATAGGTATCACAGGATCAAAACAGTTCATGGTAGGCAGAAAAGAGCAAAAAAAAAGCAAGTAATCTTAACACTGTTGTTTTTCCCCTTTTGTCTCATCCAGTCTACTCAGGGAGTGTACCATTCCCCCGTGAGCTTAACATTACACCATGAATCAGTTCCAGGATCATCCACCCATCTCTGGAAAGCCCTGCCTAAGACTGCATGAAACTTTGTAAGAATATCTAGACACAAGCCACAAGTGTCATTTCAAAAAACAAAACAAACAAAAAATTACCCACACCAATTTCCTGAAGTATTTCCATTTTCTTCTAATACTGTTCTTTATCCAGATGTTCCATTTAAATCTGTAAGGTTCTCGCCTTGCTGTCTGTGTTGTGGTTGTTGGTGTCTCATCTCATTCCTCTTCTCACCCACCACATTTCTCTAGCAACATTTATTAAAGTGACTGCCATTGCCCAAATGTGTCATCTTGTTCTTGGCCAAATACCTCCTGGCTGCATTCTCACTATGAGGTACATTTGCAAAGGATATGAAATCAGAGTTGTCATGAGATATTTGCAATTGTGTATTTACTCCAATACTACAAATAATGGCAAGATACACAACTAAAATGTGTGTCAATCTACAGATAAATTAATATAGATAATATGGGACAAATGCCATAATACAATTTTATTCAATAATAAATAGATGCTACTCAATGATAAAATACAATAAAATCCTGTCATTTGTGGCAGCTTGGAGGGACTTGAATATTTTGTTAAGTGCAAAAAGCCCAAAATATCACAATAGAGACTGTGTGATTTTTATGATTGTATGAAATGTAAAAAAGCTTATTTCATAGATATATAGAATGGTTTATAATATATGGGAAGACTGAAGGCCCACAGCAGAGACAAGAAATGATAACATTTACAAAGACAAATTTAGGTATAAGGAATACATTTTGATGTATTATTCCACAAAATAGGCATGGTATTTTAAAATTTTGTGAGTATAAATCAAAAGATTAAAAAAAAAAACATTTTGCTGTCCACACCAAATTTGTTACAACTGTTTAAAATGATGGATTACCTAAATATTGTGAGTTTACTTATTAGACAACATACACCTGTGTACACCATAGGTATGCATAATTATTATGTTCCAATTCAAATTAATGTTGAAAAGCTAATGATATGAGATAATTTGTTTAAATGCAAATGTAGATTGAGATACTCTAATAAGTCACTAGAGAAGAGTAACAACAAAAGTCATTGAAAAGCAAATTTGTTTTTCTATGAAGAATTATATTTCTATATACTTATGAGTAGCCTTAGGGTTATATAAAATTACTGTAGATTCAGACTTGAGTTTTCGTGGTTTTTGATTTAGATACTATTAGAAAAGCTATTGATTTACTCTTAAGAAAAGTAAAGAAACATATATTCAATTTGAGTTGAAAACATTCTATCTTATCTGTACTCCAGCAATTTCTAGAAGTTTAAATTGTATGATTAGCAATTATTTTAAAGAAAATCTCCAAAGTGTTCATTTGCATTTCTGAGTTCTTAGAGTAATAAAAATATTCACTCAACTAGAAAAAAGGTTGAAGGAACTCTAACTCTGGTACTTCTTCACAAATGAAAACAATCCTTCTTTGAAAATACAGAAGTATGAATATGGCAATCTTGCTTATTCCACAGCCATTGAACTATGAGAAAAAGAAGTCATACACCCTCAACATAGAAGGAGCAAATACACACCTCGATTTTCGATTTTCTCACCTGGGTCCTTTCAAAGATGCCACCATGCTGAAGATCATTGTTGGAGATGTAGATGAACCACCACTGTTTTCCATGCCTTCCTACATCATGGAAGTGTACGAAAATGCCAAGATCGGGACCACTGTTGGCACAGTTCTGGCACAAGACCCCGACAGTGCTAACAGTTTAGTAAGGTACGATATGTTTCAGTATTTCAGACTTGTATCCATATGACTGCTTCTCACATTAATTTAATAGGAATTTAATAATGCTTAAACATTTTTACTTAGCAGATTTTTTTTTTATGAATTAGTAAGACATGTCACTATACCCATGCAAATATTGTTGAACATACGGGGACATTTTTCCATTTGGCTTAGTGGATAATTGACTGAGGTAGTTGTCTCATAAATGACCAGAAATTAAGATACTCTGGTTTCTTATTAATGGTAAATATAAATATTGTGCAACAGGTAAATCAAAAGCTAAGGACAACATTCATCTCTAACTAACTTCTGTTTCCTCTGGCCATGTAGTAGTTCCTTTTTAGCTAGTTATCTACTCTTGTCTGTAAAAGAAAAATGTCTCTTGGAATTAATGTGACACTACATAAAGTTATGTGCCTAATGTACTGAATACATGATCTGTGCCATGTATAAATGCTGCTGGATCTAAAGCTGTCTAGAGTGACAACTTGTGACTTGATCTCTGAAGACAGGAAGATGCTTTTAGACATTGTGCCATGTCTGCCATCAGTTGGGTGATAGTTATTGAACTCTGGCAATTCTAAAACTCCAAAGAGGTAAAGAAAGCATAATAATGTAACAGTGTGCTCATTGGGTTAAATTATATTGAACTAAATGATTTCACACAATGCCCTTAAGTGTTTACTAGGGAAATCTTATTGTTTTAGTATTTCATACATTAATGATAATTAAAGTCTTACTGAATAATCAGCAAAGGTTTCATTTTCTCTCATCTATGATGGAATCAAAGGAACTTTATATGTATGAAATTCTTACATATGTTTATATATTTGGAAATTGTGGTGCCCTAAAATTATGGAATCCTTAAAACTTGTGTTTCCTCTTTCTTGTAAAATCTTTGCTCTCACCTTCTTTAGGATTCATCAATTTTAACAAAAGCTAACATACTCAACATTCCCTTGATATCTTTGTAATGTTTATGAAAGTCCTCAGTTTTTCCCATCACCTGAATATTTCATTTTGAAAAAGTATCAGTAGCACCCATGCATCCAGGGAAAGCAGTTTTCTGTGCAGAAATATGTACATTCACCAAATTAACTACATTTGTAAGTCAAAAACAGAATTTGTACATGCTGAGGGAAAATCCAAAGCATTGCTTGAAGAGGAAGAGTAGGTCAAGTATGAAAAATAATGCAGGCAAGACTAGTGGAAGAAAAGCAGTCACTGATAAAAAAAAATGAATATATTCATTGTCTAACAGGATGACAACACATTAAAACACATTACAATTTGGCATTCTATAAAATGTCACGTTTGAATGCTTCTTTTGACTCCTAACTGTAATATGTTTAAATATGTTTAAAATACAATACCATGAAGGCCATGTGTTATTCTTTGCTAAAAGCATCCAAAGGCTTGGGAAATTAAAATATTCCATGATACTAGATTTATACAAAATATTTGATATGAATTGCAAAACCTATTTTTGAAAATTATATTTTGATACCAATGACCTAGTCTTTAATTTTAATTTAAGAAAGGAAGGTACAATCATATGGGCAGTGACATCATACTACTTAGCATGAAGACCAATATGACTCACATAATAAGAAATCACACGCATGCACGCACGCACGCACGCATGCACCCACATGCACACCCCTCAGCTTGAAATTCAAGCAAGATACAAATTTAGGAAAGTGAATATTGTGAAATAGTCAAAAATCTCCGCAGGAGCAGGACCAATATGATTAGCATGTGATGTGATGTGATGTGATGTGATGTGATGTGATGTGATGTGGTGTGATGTGATGTGGTGTGATGTGATGTGATGTAATGCTTGTGTCTGTGTGTGTATGTGGAGACTGAGTGGCAGAAAAGGGCAAGAGACAGAGTCAGAACAAAAGAGAAAGCAAGAAAAATGATCCGACGGCATTCCTTCACATAGTTTGTGAGTGCATGTCTTAGTTACTTTTTTTACTCATCTCTGACAAAATATTGATGCCCAAGTTGGGAAAGAAAAGGTTTATTTCTTACAGTTTTGGGAGGTTTCAGTCCACACTCAGTTGACACCCAGGCAGGCGGGCGTGACTGGGTCGCTCATGGCGGGTGCAAACAGCAAACAGTAACCAGCAAAGAGCAAGACACACCTTCCTGCCATTACATCACATCCTGGCTCCACCCCTTTGTGCGTGGAGCACTGACACCACTAATCCAAGCACTAGACAATGAACGAATAACAAATGCACAATTCAAACTCATGAGGCCTGGGGGACACAAACATAAACCATGACAGTGCACTTTCAAACTTTGCAGAGTAACCCAGAGTCTAAGGTCCAAGAGAAAATTTCTGCAGAAAGACCACATGTGTGCAGAATTGTTTTATTTCTAAGATGATAGAACTTTGGTGAATAATTAAAGTTTCAATTACTTTCTGGGCAAATCCACCTTCTAGGGAGTAATCTATTTTAATGAAAATTCATAGATTTCAAAGTCCATGTAGTATAAAAACCTCATAGAATAATATAGAATAATGTTTGCTCAAATATCTGGACATCCTTGCACGAACAAGTTGGGAGGAAAAATCATTCCTCACATTGTATAGTAAACGTGATCATGTAGGGTAGAGCTGTGCATAGACAATCGCTCCAATACTTGCTGAGGCAATGATTTAGGAAGACTGAACAGATTCCCCTACTAGGTTAGAGAAAAGAGGGACAGAGGATGGAGGAGGGAATGAAAGCATCTTGTCTATATGAGGAGCCGTGATTACTTTCAGGAAAAGGCAACTAATGAGACTGCAGAGGAAGGCTAGAGAGAGATGAGAAAAGGGTGTGTTGCTAAGCTGTGGTAACGAAAGTATGCTGCCAGAGATGACAAAGGGAAAGAAGAGAAAACAAAGTAGCTTCAGTAATTAAAAATGCATCAGAAAAGAGAGACTTGCATTTCAAAATAAATAATAATGAAGTGAAAGATGTGTTATATCTCAGAAATGTAATCCAAAAAGGTAAAATTAAGGTCTGTGATATGCTTTTTTGTACTCATTTATGCTTCCAAACATCACGGATTAGATCTGGGCAATCAAGATGTCTGTAGAACATCCTTTTCTGTTTCTTTAATCTCCTCCCACTTCTCCCTTGATTCTCTCTGTCTCTGTCTCTGTCTCTGTCTCTGTGTCTGTCTCTCTCTCTGTCTCTCTCTCTGTCTCTCTCTCTCTCTTTCTCTCTCTCAAATATGACTTTTTGTTTCCTAACAACACTCCCCTTATGTTACTCTTTTATTAATTTATTCTTTTGCTTTCTTTATTGAAGAGTAAAACAAGCTTCTTTAATTGCTCTTTTTACCCCAATCTGTGAAAACACTCCACCCTGTTAGTGCTGTGTTTCTCATGCTAAGATTAAAGCTCTGCCCTCCACCAGGGCAGGGATTAATGTCTGGAGAAACTGCTGAGAGTGTCTTAGCTTAGACTGCTCCCACAAATTTCCCTGGAAATGCAGTATAAACTGGACACAGCTATTTCTCACTGTTCTGGAGATAGGAAACCCAGTGTTCCAAGTGCCTGCTCCAAACATCTGCTGAGGACCTGCCTCCTGCTTTGCAGACAGCTGTCTCTTTGTTGTGTCCTTGAATGGCCAAATAAAAAGAAAGAATGCAAGCAAATAATGTCCTGTTTCTTTTTTATAAGAGCTTGGTTTCACGAATTTCCCGTACCAACCTCTGGAAGCAATTTCCTGCTTTAGGTACTTTGATTGCTGTGACTGCTTACTCTAGACAGGATGACTTGTCACCAATGGAAATTTGTTTCTCATGATGATGGAACTAGGAGGATGGGATCAGCATGCATTCTGCCAACTCCTGATTCTCTCACTTACTGAAAGCTAGCTAGCTAGTTAGCGCTCTCTCTCTTTCTACCAGGGCACTAAGCTCAGTCTCAACAGTTTCACTCTCATGACTTAATGGCTACCTGGACTCCACCTATGAATTTTGTGGGGCTATAAGCATCAAGTCCATGACTGATTGGGTGCTTTTGGCATCTAGCTGTAGAGACCAGAGGTCAAGCTTCAGATCCTATCACTTACGGTGCTCCTACAACAAACAATTCTTTTGCACCAAAAGTCAATAGTTCTAAAGTTTAGAAACCCTGATATCGAAAAAAACAAAGTACATGGTGGATTGTTGAAAATACAATACTTATTGTATTCATGAAATAATTTTGAGAAAATCCTTCCGGCAGCTATGAGTCAATATGCATAATTCATATACATACAAAGTTATGTAAATATTTCAGTGTATTTGAATCAACCAAATAAACTGTCTATGAAGAATTTATTCCTTAAATGTATTATGAATTGTCTCAATATTTGTCCCATATCATTGCATGTATTTAATTGAACATTCACTCTGATATGTACATTCTCCTAGTTGTTGAGATACTAAGATGGGTAAATTGTTTCCAAATATTATCAGAGGAAAACAAAGTGTATTAGCATATGTGCTGTTCTTCTTTGTACAGTTTTTGTGTTACAAAACTAATGAATCCTGCTGCATATCCCTTAAAATAATCCCAGACTCATAATTGCTCTTTGAGGGCACAATTTACATAACATTTATTCTTGATCTTAATACACATGTAATTTATACATAGCTTTAGGTTTAATATTGTAGAAGAAAACAGAAAACATAACAAACCGAAAAAGAAGCCTTCTACTTCATCGTTTCTCTGGGGCCAATGTCTGTACTTGTTAGAAAAGCATACTCCAAATGTGTACATTCCACTGTGCCCAGAAATGCAATTAACTCTAAGTTTATGGACTAGGGAATAAAGGGAAGTGTAATTCTTACAGGCGCTGGTGAGAATCTGCCTGACTAGTCTTTTGTATTTCAATTTTCTAAACTGTTAGCAAGACCTCAGATTTCTTAATGCACAGACTGTCCAGTAATTTTCTTTTTCTACTTAAAATAAGATGTACAATTTGTGGCACTATAAT